CGGAAAAAAAAGCCCCGGCCTCCCCCCGAAAAAAAACCCGACCATTTTTTTTTTTTTTTTTTGGGCCAGGGGCCCCCCCCCACCTTGGGGGGGCCCCCGCACCCCTTTGGGGGGGCACAAAGGGGTTTGGGGGTTTTTTTTTTTTTTCCCCCCCCCCCCAAAGGAAAAAAACCTTTTTCCCCCGGGTCCTTCCCCTTTTGATTGGAAAGGGTGGTGCCCCATTTTTTCGCCCCAAGGTTTTTGGGGGGGGGGGGGCCCCCCCAAGAATTGGGAAGGGCCCCGGGGCCCCTGAGGCCGGGTTTCCGGGGCGGGGCCCCCCCCCCGGGGGGGCAGGAGGGTTCCCCGGTTTCCCCCCCCGGGGAAGCGAAAAAGGGGTTGTTTAACGGGACAAACCAGGGGGGGGGCCTTGGGGGGATTCTTTTTCCAAAAACCCCCCCCCCCCCCCCCCCCCCACCTCCTCCCCCCGCCGCCGTTTCACCCGTTCAGGAGCAAAATATGGTGGGTACGTATTCTCTACCGTACGAAGAACGGCATCTATTGTTTCTTCTTCCGTGTGTGGTGTAGGGAAGAACCTTTTGCTGGGCGCTTGGGGGCAAGGATTATTGTCATTGTGGCCGGCGGAGTCTGGCTGTTGGTAATGGAATTTTGAGAATCACGGCGAAAGGATGAAACTCGCTGCACTTGCGGTTACACCGCAACAGGCCGAACGGGTAACAAAAAATTAATTGGTCGGGAGAATCAAGATTTGTTCTCCGTGTGCCTAGAATGCGCCATGTTCGATCAATCGATTCGCCACTTTCACCACTGCTGTCCCCTTTTTCCCGAGTGGCCGTCGTTGTTTTCGTGCCGACTACTTGTCGTCGTCGTTGCCGCCTCTTGTTGTTGGTGTGTGCCCATCCAGGTTGACCTGCTGCTGGGCACGTGGGCGGAGAGGAACGTGGCCGGGCTCTCTGCGGCGGACATGGACAGCTACGAGGACATCCTCAATCTCGAAACCGTCGACATTTTCAACTTCATCACCGGCAACGCTGATCCTCCAGCCTTCGTGGACGCGCCCATGCTGGCGCGGTTACAGGTGCGCGAATGGTTTGGTTGCTGTCGTGTCCTGGCTGTGGTTGTTCAAGGGGTCGCGGTCTATGAAGAGAAAAGGTCCATCGCTTGTGTTTAGGCTTGTGCTCCGTAGTTTTATTGCGATTATCTTTTCTTCCACTCTTTTTTCAGTATAATAACCCAAATCGACGGTAAAACTCCAAGGCCATCGCCTACTGGAGCACAAGCCTACTGGCATTGCGAGAATGAAAATGACTACAAGAGTGGCTTGACGTAGGCACCACACCGTTTTCTGGGAACGGGCAAATACCCGAAAGGGGTTTTATAGGGCGACCAGTTTGTCCAAGTTTCTGGTGTTGAAGATCCATTTTTTCATGATATGGCGTGACGAACAGCTATGTATAGTATGGCAGCTCAGCAGCCTCCCCAAGGACTTGCTGCTTGATTTAAGTAGGGGATAGGGGATGCGGGGTGGGGGTTGAGGTTAGGGAAACAGGGATGGGGAGACGAAGGGCCCCGTCTACTTCCGTCCTCGCGAAGGCGGTCCAGCTAAATAGATGCGTTGCCCCGAGCCCTTTCCCAGCGTGGGTGGGAGGGACCCTTGTGTGTGTGTGGTGTTTTGACGGGCGCTTTGCCTGCCCGTCAACAGAGTCGAAAGGTACCGGTGGCGAGGGCTCGATTTGTCGAAAGGGCGTCGCGCGCGCTTCGATGCGCCTCCTGCCTCTAGCCTGTGGACCGTGAATCGCCGAACGGTGGCCGCGGTAAATAGGTGGTGGCGGTTGCTGCGTTCGTTGTCCGGTCGGGGTTAGTTTTTTGTCGCCGGGTCAACGGGGGTAGGGTTCTATTTTGCGTCACGGCAACTGGAAACGTAATGATCGCCACGAAAACGACCTTGTCGAAAACAGAAAACAGAGCACAGCACACACATCGTACGCATCGACTTATATCAGCGGTCTCTAGATGATTTGGAGCTTCGCTACCGCTGCTTGATGAAGCACCCTTGCTACTGCGGTATGCCACCAATTGCTCTGTTCAAGCCTCGCGTTTGTTTTAGGCGGCCGTAGCCCCATCTGAATGAATGATCTCCATCTTATTCCGACGGTGTGGTTTTGAGAGAGGCCTCAACGGGAACCCCGGGGGAAAAAATCCACGCCTGCTGCGTGCCAAAAAAAAAAACTGCACGCCTGCTGCGTGTCCATCCGACTCCTCCGACCACCTGGCTACCAGCTACTGTAATAGCTTCCTCACGAGCAGTATGATCGCCCTCCAAACGAATCATCGCCCACATAGCAGCAGCACGCGTACGGTCAAAACTGGCGCACTTTAAATAAAGACACCTTTCCGGAAAACACATATTTTAAGGTCGGCGGGCGCTCTTCGCGCTTCGGGGAAGAGGCAGGGTAGGGGGTAGGCTTAGAGAAACTCCAGCGGTTCAAAAGCAGAGAGAGGTGGATACCGGCTGATGCCTGACAAGTTCTTCGCACCCCCCCTCCTGGCCTTCCTGCCTTTGCCCATATCGCGTGCAACACTCCGTGACCTGTCAACAGGCGTACGTGAAATCGAACCCGTTGGGGCAGTCGCCGGCCAGCTACGCTTCGGCAAAGCGAGAGAGCAACCTCACCTGATACCGGTGCAACCTCTGGGTGGGGCAGGCAGTGAATGCAACCGTTGCTGCTTCGATCGGCCGAGATCCGACGCAGAGGCCAAGGGAGGCTTGAAGCCTGGGGTTGGCTGGCGTGAAGACGTGACGGGACGGACGGGCTTGGGACGGAAGAAGAAGAAGGCCTTTGTTGTGTCCCGTGTGGAGAGTAAGATGGGACCACGTCGAGCGCCGTTTGTGGTCTCCAAGGGAGGAGGCCTCCTGCCGACGACACGACCAGTGGACAGCGAGCGACCGCTACTACTGCTGTAGCTGCCATTTGTTTCTTTCGCATTGTTGCGGCAGGATATATATCATCATCGTGGTTCGTTCACGCCTTGGCGGCGAGCGGCCTGCCTGGTTGTCTTTGTCTGAACGCAAAATGGTTTCCCGCCAGACGAATGATCCAAAAGCCGAGGTACAGCAGCAGTAGTGCTATCAAGGCATGGAGCACCAAGTACGACGACAAACACGTGATGTAAGTCTTCGACGAACATGCTCCTACATATGCCCTCGTGGGTCAGGTTTCATTACAGCTCTGGGTAGCGTTTCTGGCGTGTTTGGGTCTCGACGTCTCGACCGGGTGAGAGGACTATATACCGCAGTACCGGGTTGTGTTTTTTTCTTTCGAGTTTTGTCTACTTTCGGTGTACCAACTTTTCGGGCTACATTTGTGTATACATACGCCAACGTTGCTCGAGGTCAGTTCAACAACAGTTTTTGGGTTGCACTTAGAGGCAGACACGAAACCAAAGCAACAATATAGCAAGGCTCCGAGCCCTCAGGCTACACCACGGTGCGAGGCCTATCACACCCCTGAACCCTACAACCCACACCCCAAGCGTGATCAGTGTGCAGACGTAGGCCTAGGTTTCGCTTGTGCCGAGCTACTGGATCGCGCATGCCAACGTTGGCTATGTACGCCTCGCGGAAAGTTTGGGGTTAAGCTTGTGTGGGAGGCGTTTGTCTGGACGGCGGTGCCACCACCCCCCCTGCGTGATGTGAACGACCGTTCCTTCCCTCCGAGCGCCCCCGTGCGCGCGTCCCGGAGCTTCTCACACATTTGTCGGAACTAACCCTATTATTAAGTTTCTTGTGCCGCCGCGTTGCAGGCAGTGAACCAGAGCGAACACTTCGCAGATACGAAGAACGCGTATCGTTTTTGTTATATTATTGTGCCCTTTCATGCGCCACGCACGAGGGTTCAAACGCACGTGAAACGTTGGTAGTGCAGCCTACACATAAGTTCGAGCCTCCGCTTCCTATTGGTACAACAAAATGAAAAAGAACCCCGCAACACCTCTTCAACAGCACGCGTCCCCTCGTCTCCTGGAAATCCCAGACGGCAATCAATCACTCGTACCTTTGGCAACGGGCTCACGCTGATATGCATCAAATAACAGCAGTCTTTCCGTTGAAAGAAGCAAGCAAAGGCAACCTGCTGATATGCATCAAATAACAGCTGTCTTTCCGTTGAAAGAAGCAAGCAAAGGCAACCTGCTGATATGCATCAAATAACAGCAGTCTTTCCGTTGAAAGAAGCAAGCAGACGCAACCGACTTTCAAGGGCAAGGGCACCACGATAGAAACACCGCAGCGGAGTTTTCTTCCGGAAACCAAGTCCTTACAAGTGTGTCTTCGCCTCGAGGGCCTACGCAATTCGTGTGCGGCGGTCATACTGGTGTTTAGAAAGTACCCCGTACGTACGCCATCAATCGTATGAAACTGGTTTCTAATATACCCAGGCACGAAACATCTGATGAAAAAATACATGCTTGGCGGCGGGTGGTGTACCCTCGCAATGCCCGGGCGTTTTCCACTCAATTCAACCGCTCGCAAAAGGAGCGCTAGTACGCGATGATCGGAGGAAATCGAGGGCATCTCAAAACCTATTTAGGCGAGAGAGCATGGACTCATGGACTAGTCCAGGATGTCATGCTACCGTTACGGGCACAACACGCCGCCCCATTTCCCTCCTCCTCAAGACGAAAGGCAAGAAAGTCACCCCAGCAACCTCCGGGTGAACGAATTGACCCAACACCAAAGCGTTACTTAACCGCTGGTGAAAAAAGCCACCCCGTCTCCACCACCGGACCAACCCACAACTGACGAGATGAAAAGCAAAAAAAAAGGCACCGAAAGCGAAAACACGAAGTTGTGTCTGAAAAAAAAAAACACGCCAGAAGGGCTCAGGAAGGGCCCGAGCGTACACCATCAGACGTCCGCTAGCTACATATGATTAATTCTTCTACAACAAGCCCGGCGTTCGGCCGCGCAGTCAAGTGCGTGCGAAGCCGGCTGGCTCGTCACTGACGGCCTCTTGGGATCGGAGTTACAACAAAACGGGAACCAAGGCCGGGCCGTTCGTCGATCGCTAGGTGGCCGCCGTCTGACGTTGGCGAGACCAAAGGAGAAAAAAAAAATTACGCCACGGTGGCCCCCTTCACCATTTCCGGGTAGGTCTGGCCCCCGTGCTTGGAGTCGTCCATGCCGATTTGCTGATGCCGACAAACAAAAAACGACGCGAGAGAAAAAGAAACATGACGAGGAAGACACGAGGGTCAGGCGACGTTTGCGATAAACACATTGAGCAATAGAAGCCAACATCAAACCATTACACTAGTCAGGTGATAAGATTCGGCTTCTAAAAAGTAGCGTCGACCAACCAATGGACATCACGCACACTGTACCCGTGCAAGCGAGATGCCAAACGATCGGAACAGGGACTAATCGTCCAGATAAGAGAACGTGAGGGAACAGCAACAGTACCCGACCAGTTACCTCGTCATGGGAGCGAGGCGAACGAGAAAGGCAGCACAAGACATAAAAAAAAAAGAAACGGGTGAACAGACTGACCTCCATCTCCTTGTCCACACGCATTCCGACGACAGCGTTGATCCCCAAGAACAGGGCCATGCACGTAGCCGACACCCATGCGATGACGGCCAGAATGAATACCACGTTGGCAGCGACGGCATTTCCATCGCCGCCGTAGAAGGCACCCGCGCACTTGTCCACGCGGTCGCCATAGTAAGCCGCGCTATCTGAAATGACGTGGAGCCAAGGTTATGCGGGGGGCAAGAATCAGATGGATGGGCGTAAGAAGCTAGCCAAGAGAAAGCCACCTCTCAAAAACGAACACATCCGGCCACCAAACTCGGAAAGTTTTGGTACCAAGATCGAACACATGCGCTCGTTTTGGCTACAGACCATTCTCTAGTGATGTTCGCGCCGAGAGTATATGCTTGCAAGAATGGATCGCTTCGTGACCTCTGGCCTCATGAACCAAGTGGCGGACTGATGAAACTTCCCGGACAGGAGGACAAAGGCCAAGGTGGTTGGGCGAAGGGCACACTCACAGTTGTCCTTGGTCGCGAAGAGCGACGCGGCGAATACACCCCACGCTCCGCAGAAGCAGTGGACGGGGATGGCGTCCACGACGTCATCGATCTTGAGCATCACAAGCATCTTGGAGGAGTACGTGTACACGAAGCCGGAAATGATGCCGATCACCATCGCGCCCTCGGGCTCGCAGGTGGAGCAGCCCGCGGTGACGCCCACGAGACCAGCGAGGAGACCGTTGTTGGCGGCCCCTGCGTCCCAGTACCCGAGGTTAAGCTTGCCCAGGAGGACGGTGGTGACGGCGCCGAAGGCAGCCGAGATGGTGGTGGTCACCATGGTCTTCGCGGCAACCCCAGCAAGGCCGTTGATGGCGAGAGTGGACACGCCGTTGAACCCGTACCATCCGAACCAGAGGATGAGCGTGCCGAGTGTCTGGAGCACCGCGGACTGCTGGGGGAGGGTGTTGGCGGTGCCGTCCTCGTTGAAGCGGCCGGTGCGGGGTCCCACGACGATGGCCGCTGCGAGCGCTGCCAGGCCGCCGGTCATGTGGACGACGCCAGAACCGGCGAAGTCGATGACACCGCAGTCGAACAGGAGGTCCTCGTCCACCCAGGCCGAGGCCCACCCGCCGCCCCAGCCCCAGTGCACGACGACGGGGTAGATGAACGACGTCAGGATGACGGAGTAGATGATGTACGCGTTGAAGGACACGCGCTCGGCCACAGCCCCCGACACGATGGTGGCGGCGGTGGCGGCGAAGGCCCACTGGAACAGCCACATGGCGTAACTGTAGCCGTTGGTGAGGGTGCCGTCGTCCGCCTCGAAGTGGCTGCCCTTGAGGGCGAAGGCGTTGCTTCCGATGAAACGACCTGCGGTTGCCGGGGGGTGCGGGGTGCGGGGAAGCCAACATTTACACTCAGTAGCGCAGAGGTAAAAGAGGGCGACTATCGGCATGGTCCATTTGGCAACCGCGGGCACCGCTTCACGTGGCGGGTCCTATAACAATATCACCAACTACTCCCAGCAGACATTAGTGGACCCAACGAACATGAAAAAAACCACACGCGCCTACCTACTGGCCTACATACGTTGGTCTTGGTACACGACGGGGACTGTCAGTATGGTTCATTATGTCACCACAGGCGGCATCCGCTGTTGGAAACCGTCGGCAGCCCTTCCAAGATGCGGCTGTTTTCTTTTCCGTGCTACACAGAGACCACGGGCAGATAAAGGTGTCACCAACTACGCCCAGCAGACTGTAGTGGACGCAAGAAACGACACGCGCCTGCCTACTGGTTTGGCCACATGAAAACATCTGACACTACTGCTTCAAGTGTGCACGAAACATGTCTCCTCGCACGCTGTACATACGCACCCTTAGTATCTCCCAGGGCGACACCGTAGCCGAACAGCCACCAGCAGATGGCGCCGAGGGAGGCGTCGCCGATGTTCTTGATCAAGATGTTCTTGGTGTTCTTGATGGACACGGAACCGACCTAATCGTTTGCGTTCGTTTCGGCGCAAGAGATTTCGCAACAGAAAAAACAAACATTAAAACACACAGAGACAATTTTGAACATGTAGGCCGCCGGTCGCCCCGGTGGTCTAGTGAGTACAGTCGCAGCCTACTAATGGCCAGGTCATGGATTCGAGTCCCGGCAAAGTGAGTTCCTTTCTTACTAAATAAATCCTGGTCTAAGTTGAAAGCGACGCGCTGCAAAGCTCGTTGTTAGTGAAATGGATCGACTTCCTGAGTCGCGGGGGAAGGGATTGCTGTACCCTTCTCGCGATAATTTTTTCTCAGGCAGGAACCGCAGGAGTGGGTCCAACCCCCCCCTCTATGTGACCCCGGTTGGGTCGTTTAGCTAGTAGAAGGGGAGGATGGGGGCCAGAGGGGCAGACGACAGTGTCCAATGATGGGAGAAAAAAAAAAAATGTAGGCGTTCGAGATATCACAGCAGTCGAAGGGCATGTGCTCAAATTCAATTTTTTCAGAGCGGAGGAATTGTTCCTTCGGATCTACCAGTCGCCCCGGTACTTTTAGTTGGTATTATTCTCGGAACACCTACAGCAGAAGTGGCAAGGGTCACGCGTTCGAATCCCGCCATAAGTGACCCATTTTTCAAAGCGAGTTTTTCTTAACGCTTCCGTTCGTGGCGGGTGCAAAGAGCTAAATAATATAGTTCCCGTGTACACCACAGAGGGAAGAGAGTGCTGCAATCTCTCGCATTCAAAATCGAACGCAAGCTACCGCAGGAGGGGTGGATAGGAGGCATTACGGAGGAACCCTTTGTGTGACCACGGGATGCCGTGAAGGTGCTGTGTGCGCTGATTTGAAGCGTACAAAAAAACAAGGCACGCATCATGACGAGAACATACACGCCCTTTCTGGAAGCGCGGAAACGGAATTTTGGTATGGATATGCATAAATGCAACCTGTCTATTTACAAGAGCAAGGTACGCGAGGATGATATATATCCTTTGCTTTGTACATATGCATATGCATACGCATATGATCCGTGAAATCATTTTACAGAGAGGGCCTCGAATTTTCGGCGCCCTCGGCCGGGGTAATCGGTAAGGAAACAACAAGAGACGAACTACTGTTGTAAAACTAGGCGTAGGGGACATGAGAAACCTCTGCGCTGCTCGAACCACAAGCTGTGCACCTCCAACACAAAATCAACCCCATATCTGCATGCACAAATGGTAGTGTACGACTCTACCCTGAGCAGGAATTCCTTTTCTCTCAGCTCTCAGCTCGCTCACCTCCAGCATGGCGAATCCAGTCTGCATGACTGACGTAGCAGCAGCAGGCGAGGTGGATAATGTCGACGGCAGGCGGCGGCGGCGGCATCGGACATGCGGCGGGCGGCAGCGGCAAGGAAGCCGTCAGCAACATGCATGCACGCTCCTAAAGAGGGAACGTGTGACAGACTAAATAGACTGTAAGTACGACATGACGTGATGTTTGGCTCTGAATCGAAAAGAAAGGTGGAAAATATGACGCCACCAGCCAGACGCTGTTGGCTTTGATAAAGAAAAATCTGCGCTTTGCTGCGAACACTACGTGCACGTGAAAACAGAGTTTTGCGCCCCATGGGTCGCAGGAGTTTTGTGCGTCCGCACGAAGCTGCACCGACGCTAGCGGACGGCGTACCGCCGTGAATAGACGGGCCTGAAGCTCTCTGTGAGGTGTTGCCCTTCGGGAAGAGGGGAAAGAGCGCTTCGAGCGTTCATCGGTGGATACAAAAAAAACTCTTGGAATATTAATGGGAGACGGAGGCTTGGGAGAAAAAAAAAGTGTTCCTCACACGAGCTCGTCGCAGGAGCTGCCTTCTTCTCGTAAAATAACGGCAACAGGCTCGGGCTGAGCAACGCCTTGTGCTCTCCCCCGACTACGGCGGGGTGCTCCGCTAGATGTTGCTCCGCCGGTGTACAAGTACTTCAACCAGAAGTGATTCATGTGCCGCATGTGCCAACGAGCAGAGAGCGAAGAAGCGAAGGAAGAGTAGCAACGGCGGCGGCGCCCGGCAGGAGAGACTTCAACTAGACTAGCTTCAACTGCTGCCGAACCAACGCTTTTGACACGACCCAACACATCACCCATCTCTGTAATGCCAGGGCCTCCTCGTGTCACACGCGCTGCATGCTGGCAGTACTACCTCGGCAACGGGACGGGCACCATCAGAGATAATTTAAGCCTTTTTCCTGTCCCTCAACTCTCAAGCCTGCTAAAAGTTGTTCCCTCAGGACCTATGCATAAATAGGATACACGACGCTGGGGGCGGTTATCTTCACGACACCGCCGACCATGGCGACGTCAGGCCAGCACGAGGGTCCTCAGTAGGAAACCACGCGGCGAGCGCTAGGTCTAAAAGGCTCGGAGCGATCACATTGACAAGTCGATTTGAAGAAAAGCAACCACGCGCGGAGAGCGAGAACAACAGACACCAAGACCTACACTCACAGAAGACGAGGATGGCGCCAAACAACAACCAAAAGATGTCCATGTCACCCGCAAGCGAGGCGACATCGCCGAGCGTTGCAGACTGCAGGAGATAATCGGGGTCCGAGGAGGTCAGCGAGGGGATCGTGGAGGTCGTCATGGTTAGCGCCTTCGTCTTCGGAGAGACCGGCAGGGAAACAGCGAGGTGTGGGTTGTGTTGGGCTGGGGAAGGACCGGGTGGGGGGATAGACACACAACAGTTAAAGCGTGACGTCATTTTCCGAACTTATCCATAGCATGCTGCATGCTGGCTCGCGCGCTAAAGATTCACGGAATCGTGCCTATCTGAATGTGATTTCGAGATCTGATTTCTTCGTCTCGGACCGACCCTAAAGAGAAAGAGAACAGAAAATTGGGAACCAGGGAACAAACCTGAAAATATCCTTTGCGTTATGATAGGTGGACTGGAGGAGACGCTGCGCAACCCAACCCCCAGCTTGTTGTCACCAACGGTAAGCGGTCACTGCTGTTCGTTTTCCCCCGCCAGCGCTGCTGCTGCTGTACTGCTGTAGTACAAAAAATTCCGTCACATACAGCAGTACACATGTACGTATACTACCGTGAGGTCAGAAATGAAACTCCGCGTGTCGTATTTTTGAACCACACCTGAAACACGGAACAGCCACACGTCTCATGTGTAAACACGAACGCGTAGGGACTAGGGGGGGGTACCCATCCCAAACGGTTCAACGGTTTCCGCGTAATTACATGCGTACCTCTCGTGTGTCCTTGGGTCGTACCGTCGTATCTGGGGGTCTGGGGGGAAACAAAATGGACACCAACCGACAGCACATTATAGTCTAACTTGAGATCCTTCAGCAGTAGGTAGGTACAGTCTACACATTGGACCACGATTTTACACAGGACCAGCAAGTAGGCTGTACTCTTTTCTCCTTCCTTCGCACTTGCTGTCAACAACCCACCGATGACGTGTATGTGTGGCTGTGGTGCACATGAGCACTGACTGCTTCTGCGGTTCTGCGGCAACCGTTCTTACTTGGAAGTTCTACAGCAGTGCTGCACGTCTGAAAAAGAACAAAGAAAAAAAAAAATCTGTAGATTTGAAAAACGAGTTATGTATACTGACTGCTGTGTACTGCTGTACCCTTCGTTCCATCTTCCATGATTTCTGTACCTATAAAAATTTATATAAGACCCTTCTTTATGGAAACAGAATCTTGCAAATATATCTTGGCATTATGACCCAAGATTTGCTCACAATATGTCTCCACCAAGATTTGGAGTATCGCGACTTATTGGGAGAATATAAGTCTATATGTTGAATGTTGAAAAAGCGGCGAGTTGTTCCTCTTTTCTGCTTGAAGTTGCTAAAGGTAGGCCTGTGCTCGGTAGGTGATTTTATTTTCTTTTTTCGGTGATTTTTTCCGATTGCCAACAAAAAAATCGGTGATTATTCTAGGTGCACTGAAATTCTTTTCGGGGACAATCGGCGACAAAAATAAGAAAAGGATGAGAGTCAAGAAAGATTTTTCGGTGCTTTTCGGTGATAATTTGAAGGGTAGTGTTAAGGAGGACCCGATTCGCAGGGTATCCGTCGATTGACTTTTACCAGAATCGGTACACCTTCGCATATGGCGTCAGCCGGATACTGGTTCGAATCTCCTTGGGTGCACGTTTTTTCTCCTGACTTGGACATTTTCCCATGGACACAATTTGTGTCAGTCCTGAGAACACCTCTTGGAATCGATCCTATAAAGAACCTTGTGACACTTCCATCGAATTACCCGTCCTGGCCACAAGAGGTTCCCAGTTGAGGGTAAATTCTGTGGGTGGAGAGTGTTAAGGAGGACCCGATTCGCAGGGTATCCGTCGATTGACTTTTACCAGAATCGGTACACCTTCGCAGTAGACTGCCGAAAACGTTCTTCAGCGATGTTCGGCGATATCGTAGGAAGTACTCCACATGAAAACGTTAAAACGAACTCTGGTGTTCTTTTACGTATACCACAAGTGTGTCCGTACTGTGTACCGTGTGTGGTGTCTGCAGCGCGGTGCTTGGGTTGTGTTCGCTGTGTGCTGTGTGCTGTTGGCTCTGCTGCTGTGCTGCTGCGCTTGAGGGGGGTATCTGATGGGATTTGCGGGGTACGGCATGTATACACGGAGCCCCCTGGAAAAAACGGTGAAAATCAGCGAGGCGCCTCCCGTTTTCGGTGATCGGCCACTACAATGTATTTTTTCGGTGATTCAAATTCCTCACTTTTTTCGGTCAAGTTTTCAAAATTCGGTGCTTTTCGGTGATCACCTACCGAGCACAGAGATAAAGGCACAACGCACAACGGCCACTTGGTCCACAGAAAATGCCAAGGTGTGGCGAAAAGTGACCATGACGCAGTTGTAGAAGGATCGTCCCTCCCCCAGCTGTATTGCTTCAACAATATGGGTGGATACTAGCGATGGGCGCCTACCTGGGGTGCAACAACAGAAGCCGTTGCCCACGAGCTCATATCAAGCGGAGAAATAAAATTGTTCCATTGCTGTCCAACTTACAAGAAAGTGCACCAACCCGAAGCTGATTACACCCGTGCACGTATCTCACTATGTGGCAGGCGTACCGAGGTCAAACCTCCGGCGCTGTCATCTGCACTCACGGATCTGGCTCGGGTGCAAAGGGATTGGGTGTGGGGGGATTCGATGAAGAGATACAAGCGTCGCACACGACAGAGCTGTGTTGGCAAAACGTTCCTCCTCTATTTTTCTACACTTCAAAATAAAGTGCTCTTTGAACGGTCCCTCTACAGACGGGTGACGCACGTGGAACGAGCCACAGCAAATACGCATTTTTTTCGCGCGCCTCGGTCGTTTTCGTTCGCTGTCGGCGCCCGTGGCGCCGACACAGTGACGCCAGGGTGCGTTTGAGACCCTTGCGAGTGTGCCATGTATGTGCAGATTTCATGGCGTTATGGAAGATCAGGTTCACTGACCTTCGGTGATCGCGCTGCACCAAGGCAAGATTGTTACGCCGCCTCAAGATTTGTCGGTTGTTCGCCCTTGTCGTTGTTGTGTTATTTATTGTTGTTGTTGTTGTTGTTGTTGTTGTTGTTGTTGTTGTCGTCCCTTTTCAAAAACGCGCTGTTCGATGTTTCAGCCTCCGGGTCTTTCGCGAGGAGGGAGACCAAGGCACACAAGGTGCTGCGCGCCGTGTCTCGCGCCCAGCGCGCAGCGCGGCCACGACGGTGGCGCAGTGTGCGTGAGGAGGTGGCGGCGCAACCGGCTGCGGTAATAATACGTACCCAAAGAAAAGGTCAAATCGTTTTGGGGGGGGGGCTGCTGCTGTGTGCAGTTAGTTGCTGTGGTCTGTCTGTTGTAGAAACCTCACGGCTACCAATCAATCCAGTGATTTTTCCTTTCGCGCGCCGAGGGAGACCGAGGAACAAAAGACACCGCCCGCCGCGTCTCGCGCCCAGCGCGGCCGCGGTCATGGCGCGGTGAGTCTGCGGGGGTGGCGCCGCAACCGGCTCTGCGACACCAAAAAAAAAGGTGAAACAAGCTTGTTGGGTGAAATCGTTTTTTTGGGGTGCGCTGCTTCCAGGGTGCTGTGCCGTTGAGGTCTCTGTCTTAGAACAACCTCACGGCTACCAATCCAGCGCTCTTTCGCGCGGAGAGAGACCGAGGCACGCAAGGTGCGGCACGCCGTGTCTCGCGCCCAGAGCGGCCGCGGTTGTGGCGCATGAGTGACACAGCAGCAGCAGCAGTAAGTAGTAGCAGTCAGGGCAACTTGGTCAGGGGGATGTTCGGAGAAAAGTAAACCAGCAAGCTGTCAATAGACACTGCGCCGTGTCCCCTGTGAAGGTTACATTTTACACGACACAACGGAGGGATTCTCCCCGATATTGTATGTCGTTGACCCAGTAGAGAACTACAGGGGATGTATTGTAAAATGTAAGTTACCTATACAGATTTAAGGAATAACAGTTTTTGTACTTAGCACCAGCTGGCATCACTGACTTGGTATAAATCATCAGCAGTGTATAGACAGACTTAAAAAGACTCGAAATAAGTCCAGTACCCAGACGGTTTCTCTCCACTCACTGAAAAGACTCCACCACTCCACCACATCCCGTTCGACTGTGGTAATATCTCGAATGGGTAGTCTTTCTGTGTGTGTTTTTATTATTCCTTTTATTAATTACTACTGCTGCTGCTGCCAGCATACATATGTACGCTTGTTAGTATGTACGCTTTGGGCGGAACACGCTTTGATAGTATGTAGGATGGAGCTCGCCCTCACTCATGTGACTCGCCTATTTCGTCATCATCGTATGATTGATGTACCTGTGGCCAGGCGTTTCGAGTTCTATGCGTATGTATAGCGACGGAGCCTGGTCCGACGGAATCCGGCGTGCTCCTTCCTGTGGCTTTATTGATAGTAAGGATGCGAGGTTAAGTCGATTTCATAATATAAGTCGCGAGGGAAGGGATTGCTGTACCCTTCTCGAGAAAAAATATCTCAGGCAGGAACGGCAGGAGGGGGTCCAATCCCCCCCTCCTATGTGAGCCCGGTTGGATCGTCTAGCTAGTAGAAGTGGAGGATAGGGGCCAGAGGGGCAGGCGACAGAATGAATCCAATGATGTGAGAAAAAAAAAGCGTACATACTAACTAACGTAATCCTTGACGCGGATGACTGCATCGAAAGGGTTGCTCCAACTTGCTCGCCACTATTTGCCAGTCAGTGGCACCCACGGGTTTGCACGGGATAATATTTGTCGCACCATGTGTGGCTGCTAGCAGAACAGGGTGCATCTTATTGTTGATAGGATGTGGGTCGGTCCCAGGAGGTACCCTTCAGACCCCTACCTTCTTAGAATTGTCTATTCTGTGTACCCCCTGAGATGAAGTTGGATCCCCACTTCATCTCAGACGCTTGCTGATCGTCTCTCAGCAATAAGAAGCAACTTTCCCATCTCAACGTGGTCGTGGACAAGATGAGTGTCAACGACAGAACATTCATCTATCTCTAGGACCAAGCTACCGCCCACGGCTTCACCTCCTTTAAACCATACAATGAACGCTGTCTGTCGTGGGGAAGATGGGGCAGCACAAGGGCAGCAATGAAATATTATGTTGTCTGCTGCTGTAATTTCAAGGCTTGCTCGACAGTTCCAATCTTGCCGAGGTTTCTACATCATTGTACAGTAGTAGTACATCCTGACAACGCCCGGAGGCCTACCGAAGTCATTGGACAGCACAACATGAGGGCTTGGTCGGAGAGTTGGTTGGTACAACGCTGTGTGGTACACACACAATCAAGAGCGAGATGGGGGTATCAGTGAGATCGTGACAAAAGTGGGTCTTGTCTTTGCTCGTTGTCAGGGACGTCCACAACAACAGGCGAGTTGCATGCTACCTCGAGTTCTTTGACGGCGACGGTCGCACTGCTGGTGGTACAGGACGGTTGTATGTTCGGGATCTACCGCCGAACACATATATATGCCAACCCACATCAGGGAGGGTAATGTGTGTGTGCGTTCAACACTCAGCATCACCTCAGCATCATTCTTCATCGCAAGTGGGAGCGTTCCTTTCATCCGGGTTTTGCTTTGAAAACAAGTCAGATCCAGATGATTTGAGCCGATTTTCGGATGTATGGGTTGGGAAAATCAAGACAAAGTGAAGCGGTTTCAACAATGATCGTATAGAAGTGCGTTTCTGCGGTACCAATCCAAACGAGAACGGGCAGGGAAACGCTGTACAGAACCCTTCCTATAAGCTGCAAGCTGGGAATGGTCTATTGTCAGGTTTGACGCCGATCAGACCACCCCCTTCCCTACCTATCATCCCGTGACACACCATCGAGGTGCGAGAGTAGCGTACGGAATGGAACAAAGGACAAAATGGACCACGAAAATCGTAAACGATGTCACGTTCTATCCTTGGCAGCGTCTCCACGAAAACTGTACCTAAATGATTTCAAGGGCGAACCTTCCCCCTTACGAAAGACAAGTCGCCCCACAAAAACACAACGTCAACGAGCTCTAGTCACAGCAGCAGTGCAGGTGGTGGTGGTAAGGGTCCGCATTGCGCCGCTAAAAGCAGCAGAGCGAACGTTGCTTGCCCATTGATGTGGCTTAACGTTTAGGCCAGGGTCTTCCTGACCATCTCCGGGTAGGTCTGGCCACCGTGCTTGGAATCGTCCATACCAATTTGCTGAGCGTAGGCGGGTAGGTGCAGGGGCATGCGGAGGAACGAAAAACAGGACAAAAGAAGGAGAGGGTGGGGGGGGGGTGTCGTACCGGGTCTGGCAAATAGCACTCCAGACTCATGTACCGATTCCTCAGCTCGTCCATTGATTGATAACATGTAGGGTCGTGTCCTTAATTGTGATGGGACTAAGTGCGCCAAGGGTATACATTGCGTGCTAGCAGGTTGTGTGGATGTTTTGTCCTGCCTCATGAAGCCTAAACCTTCGCAGCATTAGGGGTAGTATTTCGCTTGTGAAGCCCCCCCCCCCGCAACAATGACTCGGTGGTGAGTACGCCAACCTCTGGGGAGATACTGACATCCTTGACGGGCTATGCTAATTATCCAAATAGTACCATAATAAACAGCGAATGATACAAACATCGAAATCAAGGGCTCTCGCGTGTGGTTTTTCAACACGCGCGCACATCCTCTCACCTCCACCTCCTGTGAAACGCGGATGCCGATGGTGTACTTGATGCCCAAGAACAGTGCCATGCAGGTGACCACGGTCCACGCAATGAGGGCAAGCAAAAACACCAAACCCACCGCGAGGGTGCTGCCATCACCGCCGTAGAAGGCACCGGCGCACTTATCCGCACGCTCGGCGGAATAGACGTTGGCGTCTGAACGACATCAAGCGACGATTATGGCATGGCGTGGGGAGTTGCACCAGAGAATCACTCTCGAGAGGGGATGTGTACAGTTCCTACAAGGATCAGATTTATACCGGCGCGAAGACGATCACCTCAGCGTGCTTCAATGCGGCCTCCTTCCCAGGAATGTAGGGGGGTGGCTACGCACCGAGCCCCAGGTACACAGAGAAGCATGTAGCACATGCTGGAGTCTACAAGTTCCATTGTTTTGGCCTCATGTTTTCAAATCTTGTTCCCTCCTCTTCATTGCAAAACTTGCAGAATACCTTGGTGGCGGAAGCGACACAGGTCGACTTTTCAGATATATGCATAGTTATAAATAGAACAAGTCCAACAGGCCCAGAGTACGTCCTCCACCCAGAAAATGAAAGTTCCGAAGCAGCTGTATTGAGAGAGATAGAAATCAAGCCAGGGTAAGGCAGACGACACCGCGAGGAAAGTAGGCCCCACAGCCCAAACTCGCAGGGGGAGTCCAAAGAACAAAATTCGCTGTAAGGACGAGTACAATGCCACTGCAAGCAAAAGAAAGACACGAAGAACGCTTTCTCGGCCCCCCGCGAAGCCTGTGGGACGTGGACCCATGTACACGCGCATGCGGTAGTCGGTAGACCATAGACCCCGCATCCCTACGATGCCGGGATGGGGAGCGAAATGCCGGGTTTTCGCCGGCCCAGGCTACGTTTCACGAGGACGAACCAGGAGTTGGTCATCTTCCTTGCGCTTGCTGTGCCATGCCTTGGGTTCATAGGGCCTACCGGCTAACGGGACGTTTCGTACTCGGCAGACACGATAGTCAAATGCTTCAAGTACGGCAAGGGACTTCGGTCTTTTGCGCGCTCGTACAAAGCAGGCGCGCCACATACAGCGCACTCCAGGTGGAAAAGTTCCAGATAGAGTACGTACAGTAGTTCAAAAGTATTATTGCTCTAGGGTGTTCCAACGATCCATATTCTTCAGCGAAAAATCCAACAGGGTCCGCGGGGCGGTCATCATTGGGTTTTAGAGGGACCAGACCAGACCAGACCAGACCAGACCATTTCCATACACGACGGGGCCTTGCTGTGAGCAACTCAACAACTCTGACGGAAAAAAATTGGCGACGTTTCACGATCAAAGTAAGCGCCGTCCCACGTCCCACGCGCTATGTATGCCGGGGAGCGTCGGGTTTGCATTGTATCCAACCTGCAACGCGCCAAAGAAACCCATCGTTCATGTATGGGTGGGTCGACGTAGCAGGTGAATTTCCGGGAGTTTTGTTCGACAAGGCGTTCTTGTGTTTTGCGTAAATTGATTGATAGATTAGGCAATGGTTGCTTGATGTTGATGTAAGTAATGTTGATCTTCAGCAGAACAAAGTCTACATGGACCGTACACGAAAAAATATAATGAACTAATGAACGAGTTCCTGGACAGTTGACAGTTTGATATCGACAGCTTTAGTTTTTCACTCTACGACTTCGGGCAATGAATTGATTCATGCTTGGTTTTTGGCTCTGGTAAACTCTACGATTCGATACAAACCGCACATGCGGGAAACACTTGGGAGAAAGAAAATTGCGAGGTCGGAAATAGTCACGGGCTCAACAAAGGCTCCTGTATGAGGGGAAGATGTTCGGTTTACATTCTCTGGGTAGCCCCCCGCTGCATTGTCCGCTGTTTTTCGAGAATGGACGCGCATCCGGGTACGCAACATGCTACATATGTCTACAACTTCAACTTATTTGGTGGTAGGAAATAAGGGCGGACGCCGGGAGAACAAACGTTTGAAGCTCATCTGTTTATCCACCCTTCAGCCAGTGAGACAGACCGTCCGCCCACCTGACCGGTTGTCCTGCCATCGTTTTCAAGTAAGGTACTCACAGTTGTCCTTGGTCGCGAAGAGGGAAACAGCGATGACGCCCCAGACGCCGCAGAAGAAGTGGATAGGGACGGCGTCTACGACGTCGTCGATCTGATCAGCCAGCCGGGTGTTGCCCCGAGCCGTCGTCGTCCTCGTAGTCGGCGTAGTTGCCGTTGTTCCGCCAGAAAGGAACAGACGTGCGTGAGTTCATCTCTTGCAGGCAGGGGTTTGATACCGCGGCCACAGTTATGTATGTCGCTGTGCTTCGGTGGCGTCGCACCGGGAAGCTATGGCGACGCTTTTCTCTCACCCTCCGGATGGTTGAAGGCCAACTTGGCTGTGATATCCCCCCAACACTCCGTTGTCAAGCAAGTGCATGTATATGCGTACAAGTAACAGGCGCACACGTCTCCTATCCCGGCTAAACAAGGATGGAACCCTATTGGCTTCACTGACGCACTCTATTCTCGGCGAGAATCCGAGATCTTCCAACAATCAGCGTCCCCCAACAAAAGATCGAGCGATGTCAATGTGGTACCCGGCGAAGGCAGCTGCAACCGACTGAAAATGAAGGAGCACCGGCCGGGGCGGAGGTTATGAAACATTTTTTCTTAATAGGTCCACCATCGTGGTAGTAGGCTGTTCCACGCGCACGGCCAGCGATCAAGAGTTCAAAAACCACTAACCTGGAGCTTCAACATCAGCTTGGAGGAGTACGTGTACACGAAGGCGGCTACGATGCCGATCACCATCGCGGCCTCGGGCTCGCAGGTGGAGCAGCCCGCGGTGATTCCCACGAGACCGGCGAGGAGGCCGTTGTTGGCGGCCCCACTGTCCCAGTACCCGAGCCTGACCTTGCCGATGACGGAGTTGGTGATGGCGCCGAACGCGGCGGAGATGGTGGTGATCACCATGACCTTGGCGGCGATAGTAGCGCCTCCGCCGGAAAGGGTAAGGGTACTGATGTGTCGGGGGTTGGAGGCGCGGGGCAGTCGGGCGCGGGTGGGGGAAGAACGTAGTGCCTACAATAGTAATCCATCGTTAGGGAAGAACAGAGAGATGGGCGATAAAACCGCTCCTATTTTCGGAGGAGAAAGCGGAATCTCTGCCAGATATTGGGCGAGGGTATCTGCCGTCTGAACCCTCCTATCTCCATCTCTGGAGGCCCCGCGGAAGAGAACAAGCGTACCCAGCGGGTGGAGCGAAGGGAGTGTTCGTGAACACTCAGCATGATGCTCAGCATGAGGCGATGATATGAGGATGGGTTTTCAAAACACAGGCCTCGTTTCGAACACACCGCACCAGGCGCCGGTCAAATATTATTTCACCACTTGCAGAAACTGCATAGCGAAGAAGCACGTGACGGCGGACTAAGTCTGCGTCTACACCACACAGAGGCTGCCTAGTGTACATTCGCGCCGCACCTGACGCCGTTGAAGCCGTACCATCCCCACCAAAGGATAAGGATGCCAAGCGTCTGGTGCGGGGATGTGATGTATCAGTGCACAGGCAGCCAGGGAAACAAGCATACCAACGAGTGATTGAGGTGCATTGCTACTGAACGCCACGGTAGAGAACCCTAGACAGACACTAACTCGGCGGGCGGGGGGTATACGCGGGATTGTTATCTTTATATATAAAATCCGAGCATTCGCGAGAAATCAAACACAGTAACAACCAAGAGCGTCGGGAGCTTGCAACTACTGAGTAGAACAAATTCGTGCAGCGGCGTGCAACGGTGTTTATAGTCGCCGTGGTTCGCCCGCTGCCGCCGAATGAACCCGAGACCCAGCGAAGCAAACTCTCCCCAACGGTGATAACCCAACCAACAAACGAAGACAGACACCGTGCAGGAGACTTTTCAAACGACCAGTGTTGATACCAACGATGGAAATTCTTCAAAACAAAGCACCCTCCATTTAATGATGAGAATAACGCGATGCTTCAACCCCAAGGATGTACGAAATAGTGGGGAAAACGCTTCTTACATCGTGTCGGGCGGCCGCCAAACGCACACAAACAAAAACAAGTCGTTTCCAGATACCGAAAAGGTCAGCAGTTGAGACACAGCGGCCTGAGAAGTAGATCAAGCTCAGGCTGTCTGGAATAACATGGAGCATTGGTTAAGAAACACAAGCAAGGCAGCAGTAGCCTCTGCACGGCGACGACGACGACGACAGAACAAAAACGATCTCCGATCCAACTCTACCGCTTGCACCTGTCCCAAAAACGAACACTGATCGCAAGCACTCCGCCGACCACACCTGAAGCAGGGCGGATTGCTGGGGCAACGAGTTGGCCGTCCCGTCGGAATTGAAGCGGCCGGCGCGGGGGCCCACCACAATGCACGCGCAGAGGGCCGCGAGACCCCCCAGGCCGTGAACCACGCCCGACCCAGCGAAGTCGAGCAAGCCGCAGCCGAAGAGCAGATCGTCTTCCCCGACGAATGCGGAGGCCCAGCCGCCGGCCCAGGCCCAGTGCACGACGACCGGGTAGATGAAAGAGGTGGCGCGATGGAGTAAACGATGTAGGCGTTAAAGTCGATGCGCTCGGCCACGGCCCCGGAGACCATGGTGGACGTTGTGGCCGCGAAGGTCCACTGGAACACCCATATTGCGTACTCGTAGCCGTTGGTGAGGGTGGCGTTGCCGTCGGCATCGACGACTTCGAAGGCGGAGCCCTTAAGGGCGAAGTAAGTCTCGGTGCCGATGAAGCGTCCTGCCGTGGAGGGGTTGAAAAAGCAGGTCGTTCCCATTGTTCTTGGGGAAAGAGTGTGTCTCGAGTGCGTGTGTGAGAGGGAGAGACAGAATTACCTGCGCCCCGAGACTGAGCGACAGCGACAGAGACGGATACAGAGAGCGCTACTTTGCAGTGTTGCGTTGTTACCCCCAGGTACTCTTGGATCTGGGGATCGTGAACAAACACTACGTGGTGGGTGGCGAGTCAACATATTGTTTCGGACAGGAACACGAACTGACAACGCACGCCAAATAAGACACACGGATCACACAGCGAGCTATACTTGCCCCAGTCCTCTCCGAAGGCTATCCCGTGGCCCACTAGCCACCAGCAGAAAGCACCGATGCAGGCGTCGCCGATGTTCTTGATGAGTATGTTCCTGGTGTTCTTGATGGACACGGAACCCACCTGTTGGTATGGGAGCGGCACCTTGTTGTTTGGCGACCTTCCGTGTCCCCCCTTTGGCTCTACTGTAGTTATAATTGGATATCATGCTCGTCCTAGGTCGTGATGCTCTCCTCCACACAGCAAGCAGGCGATTCCGTTTGTCCTACTGCTGTTTCTGTGTCTCACTCGATCTTGAGAAAGCTGGATAGCGAACAAAACACTACTGTAGACGTAAACAACATGACGTACGCATGCGGCAGTGATATCCGTTTATTCATGCATTCACACCGCATGGAAAGTGGCATAGCGGACGCTTGCCTCTATTGGCAGCGGTGCACAGACATGGTGTTGTCGTCCGGTACTTGTGTGGAATCAACATGTTCGGGGTCCGAAAGCCGAATCTTTGACAGTAGCGCCGCGCATGTACGGTACCCCACGGTGTCAACACGTGCGTAGTAGCGGGGCGCTAAAAGAAGAGTAATTGGCCAGAAACGGGGCGAACGCCGTCTTCTCGGAAACTATTTAACGAATACACCAGGGGGGAACGCCCCGCACAGCCCTCGAGAAGCCTCGGTAAAGGGGTGACGGGTTCGAACGGAGAACGAAACATGAGTGTTGGGCTTACTTGGAGCAGTTTACGACGCACGATGTGGCAGTGCTCTATTGCTCAATGGTGTAAAACATGAGTTCCCTATCCCTTGTAGCTGATGCTTTTCGTATCCGCGGGCCGAAGCGACATATCGCAGTGCTCCAATTAGATGATGTTCCATGGGCACCGCGCCCATGTATGTTCACGTTAGGATACACGGCGAATGTCGTGTGGCTAGCACCGGAGTCAGCAACACCGCACAGACGGACACCCTGGACCTACCAAAGCTTAGGTTTGCGGGAAGAACGAAAAGACGAGCAACCCACAACGCAATCGCTTCGCTCACCTTTTTGACCTGAATCCACCGGACGCAATCCTAGAAACAATCAGGGCAAAGCTGGCGAGACGGGCCAGATTGCGCGCAGCGCGTCCCATGTTACTTTAAAAGAAGGTTAGGGTGTGCTTGCCCCTGATTCTGGCCTATAGATCCCGTGCACACAGAATATCAACTAAGCCGCAAGCAAGGAGTTGCGAGACCGTCGAGACAGTTTCTCCAAGGAGGCGTGATTGGCTTAAATGTCCATGTGCTCCCGGACACGATTTGTGCATGCCATGTTCATTGCAAGGCCTACTGTAGCGACTGTGTCATCGTGTCATCCTCACCTCGAGCATTATAAACCCGAGTTGAATCACTGAACTCGCCACCAGGTGCGATGAGACATACACAGATCCAGAGCCGTCAAGCGTAGCAGTACCACACATGTCCAACGGAGGTTGGGCAGCAGAGCAGAGCAGAGCACAAATAGTGGACAACGAAAGAAAGCGGGCGGCAGCGTCGTCGAAGTCCGATGAGTGATGAAATCGGCAGCAGACATCCTCCAACAGATCAGAACGAAACCGAAGGGTTGTCTGTCGCCTAAAGTTGGCTGAACCCGTTCCGCGATACAGAAAGCATACAAATGAAAGCTTGGTGGCAGAGGAAATCCGGGTTGGCCCCTCTCCAGGCCTTCTGACAAAGGGAGGTAAGTCAATGGGGTTCGTGAAAACTAACCTTGTTGCGACGTCAAAGCAATTCGTGAAAACTACCGTGTTGCAACGCCAAAGCAAATAGATGGCGTGACGAGAAAACAATGTCGCCAGTACTTCCGCAAAACAGGCGCCAGGCCCATGTCGACATTTAGCATGCATCTATGCCACGTGCGCAAATGCTTTTGCGTGACAACTGTTAAAACTTCACCCCACTGCGTGGAGCTGGGACGGCAAACATGGTTAGGAGCGTCGGGGTGTGGTCTTGGAAACTTTAAGGTGGGGATGGGAAGGAGCGATGTAGTGCCTTTGCTCAACAGGTGCACCTGACATATTGTGTTGGCACTGGGAACGCAACCACGGACACTTTGCCCGATGCCTAGGTTTGGATTCTTGCCTGTCGCCTTTGTAGGTTTCATGTGGTAGTAGGTGTAACGTCGGGTTCTGAAGCGGGCATCACTTATGTGTGTTACAGTGTTGATTGACGTTTCGACTTGATGACGTAAGCGTTCCTCCATGTCGTTTTTTCTGCCAAGCTCGCAAGTGGTGACTCTACCCGAATCGTTCGTCGTGTGGTCCACGGTTTCGGTGTCGTGTTGCCGCCGCCCTAAAGGGAGCAACCCCTAAAAGTTTTCTCAACTGCAATTGCACTCGTCATCGTCACGTACGTGTGCTAGTATGGAAGAATGTGGTGGTTATCCGCAATCGGAAAGTTTGAACAACACTAGCGTCAAACGACGCAGTTTTCCCGCCTGTCGTCCTGTCGTCCAATCCTACGCCAAAGGGCGGGGCGACAGAAGTAGGGCATTTACTCTGTCATTGTTGTCTCTCGTGCGTGTGTGTCTTTTTTGTTAGCATCGGCCGCGCTAACCAATTGGTAGGAAATTTCGAAATTTCCCGATACTTGTAAGGAAGGGTTAGCTGGGGGAGCGTGAAAGAAAGCGTTGTCCTCTCTTGTATGTGTGTCTATCTTGTTGCAGCATCGGCTGCGCCAACCAAAAAGAAATTTCCCGACATTTGTGAAGACAAAGAAAGGTCATCCGAAACACACACCGAAGGCACAAGACGTAAGGGGTAGCTGGGGGAGCGTGAAAGAAATCCACAACATGCTGCTATTGGACCACCTGGCTGGGCGACCGGCCCACAGCAGTACAAATACAGGTCTTTTTCCGTACCTTGGCGGTGTCAACCTTATATACTACATGCTGGATTACTCTCATCAGTCGTAGCAGGAAATTCTAGCGAGGGCGGTCCAGAAGAATTATTATTTTGTAGCCTAGCCTACGTAGTACATGGTAAACACACGCGAGTTTGGCAAAAACGAACGAAACTGCTACCAGTAAGTAACTGTGGTTTGAAGGACTAGGAGGGAACGATGCATGCATGCGGCCACCTCTCGGACTAGAGGATGTGGAATGCTGCTCCGGAGAACAAGCAAGAAGAAACTGTCTTCGAAGAAGAAACGGCCGTCACGTGCATATAATATGCATAGCAGAGTAAACTACCGTACGTCAAGCTTTTTTAACCCTTGGATCGGGGTGTGTGTGTGTGTGTGTGTGTGTTTTGGTCCTATTTATTATGGCGACAGTCCCCCCATGTTTCGTGGTGAGACGTGTACTTCACTTTTCAGCGTATGTAGAGTACAGTAGTGCACTTTTCAGTGTATTTTTTCGTACAACTACAACCATGCAGGGTCACACAGGAGGGCGTAAACACCAGTGCTTTTTTCTTCTTATTTATTTTCATCCCCCACCTTCCTCCTGCGGCGCGTGCTGAATTTTATTTTTATCGCGAGAAGGGTTCAGCCGTCCCTTTCCCTCGTCAACGGTGCTAACGTCGAAGTTTGGTACTCACGAGAGCTTTCCAGCTACATTTCTCTTTCACCCGCAAATTTTGAATTTTTTTCACCCCATGGGGATTCGGACTCACGACCTCTGCACTAGCGGTTTACGAGGATACCACTAAACCACCGGGGCGACCGGCTTGGGTACACCATTTCTTTGCGAAGAGAGGTACAGCAGGTGGCCCAAAATAATAGCGGCATGTAGGGGCAAGGCAAAAATTCCGCAATAATTGCCGCTATTCCACTGCAGCATGCAGCGCAATATTGCCGCTATTGGGAGAGTTGAAAATATTGATTGCCGTTATAACAATTGCGGAGAAAGGGTATTTTGATGTTCATTGCTAAATGACAGCACAGGGGGCGCATCTGTATCTACTATGTACATATTTTCCTAGAGGAAAACATGCCATGATCCCCCATACCCCTTCTCTGACAGATGTGAGTGACAAGCGGGGCAGGATGGGTGGTGGGCGGACGCCACAGCGCCCACGTGTGGGGTACTTGGATACGCCTTGGATACATATCACAGACCACGTATGTATGTATGTATCCCAGGAGGGACCACAAGATCCGATCTGGAGAGTATACGTTGTGGGGGGTATAAGATACAGTTCGGGTCCAAGTGCGGGGCCCCTCTTGAGAAAGCCCGAGAGCCCTCGTTTTCGTCCACTGAATGCGTGCTGGAACACCGATCGATGTGTATTATCGGTCTCATGTCATCTACGTCGGTCCTACTTGGGTGGGTAATGCCGTAGCCTCCGTGGGAAGGCGCGGGGACCACAAACAATACATCAATACAACGCTCCCCTTCGGGATGTAGGTGCAATGGCCTCCCGGGGGCGACGCAAGAGGAAATGGAAATTAATTATGGGGTTGTATCGTAGCGTGCGGTGGTGCTGGTGGCCGTATAATATATCGCACGTATCATCGGACGATGGAGGCGGGTACGGTTGACCGATGAGTGTAATTTTGATGTTAATGTTGTACAACTGTTGGGCAGCTACACTCTCTATTCCCGTTCCGTAGGTGGTTGGGTTTGCCATGAGTTGAAGGTAGTGTGCGACACTTTGATAGGTTTGCTGAGGATGACCGGCTATTTGAACGTGTTCTGAATTTATTCCCGCTGAGATGCTCTAGAAGAAGGTATTTTGACGTGAGCCTGGGATGGGGATATGAAGGTTGTTCGTTATGTGGTCGATGAGTTGCCCTCGGACCGAAGAGTGCATGCTAGGATCATGGAAGACGCGACGGGCGATACATCACAGTAGGCATGCACCATCACCAATCAATTTCGTCGACAATATGCCAGGACGCGTTGCTGCCAGAGCCACTGGAAGGGTTATTGCCGTTGTCATTCCGTTGTTGCTGCCGTTGTTTTGGTCATCAGGGTCGCCTTGGTTATTGTTATTGTGGCTGTCGTTGGTGCAACCGTGACGACCAGGTAGTTGAATGTCGAACACTGGTGGACGTTGCGCACTCTTCTGTGCACCTACCTACTGTACCCCTCTGTTACCCGGGACTGGCGGCATTAGCACTTCATTTCAGCCGCGGCCCCTGGCGGCTAACCAGCAATAGCGATTCAATCATTAGTTTGCACACGAAACGAACAGAGTTAAGGGCCGGTCTTAACGCAGGAATCAGATCTCGAAATCACATTCAGATTTGGTTATAAGACCGGAAGATCCAAAGAACTCTGTTTTTGATTGGCTGAAAAGTTCTTCCGCCGGTCTCCTCTGTAGGACTTAAAAGAGGACGACCCAAAACCAAATCGGGATTTGAAAAAAGGTGAAATAATTTAATCAGATCCCGATTTGGGTGAACCGAAACCAAGTTCGAACATTAGCGGTCTACTCGCATGCACGGCGCGTGCCCACCTAGCCCCATCCACACGAACTCCATCCACCGCAGGTGACACCAAGGATGCCAATATGGTTTATTTTTGGGGAAACGGCACAACAGGGTATACCCTGGTCGAAAAGCGACACACCTGGGTACACAGTCATTAACAGCAGTACATGCACTCATATCATTGGTCAGCGCCCGAATTCACCCCGGTGCGTCCGAAAAGGCGCAGGGTATACCCTGCCGTGACTACTTTTCTCAACAACTGTACACTGTTTTCGGAAATGTACCCTGACCTGACGGGAAAAGAGACCCTTTCATCAACCCTATATACCTGTCGCTCGGCCTACTACGTCGTTGAAGGAGTCAACGAAAACAACGACGAACAACAAGCAACACACAACAAGAGAGACACACCCGATGGTTTTCAAACCATCATCATGTACTTCCAAGGTATATATTATGTGTGTGTCTTGTGTGTGTGTTGGGGGAAAAATTGGAACGGCAATCATTCACAAAATACAAAATGATGACCACAGATGTGGAAGGTTGTGTTGTACAACCTGGTATTTTGTCACAACGGTTAGAAAGATCAAAGGGGGCACCGTAGGTAAAAGAGAATTGATAGGTAGGCATGTGTAACGGAAAGAAAAGAAAAAGAAAGAGATGCACCTTGCTCACAACAGAAGAAACATCTGAACGAAAGAGCAAGACAACAAACAAACAAGAGGAGGAGTAGAAGAGAGACAGAGGAGGAAGAAGAAGGAAGCGAGTGTACGGAAGGGAGGAGACAGACAGAGAAAGAGAGCAAGAGCATCGTCGGTTCGTTTTTTTCAACGTCGGCCGACCCGGCGCTTGAGCGCGGGGGCCGGGATCCTGCTGCCGAGCGCGGGGTCCCATGCCGAATACGGTAAGGCTTGGGACGTTGACACCGATGCGGCGCCGCGACGAGGAGCAGGAAGAGCAAGGCGGATGGCGGGGCCAAGGAAGGGGAGAGGACGGGGGCTCGCCGCAGAGGGGCGGAGGTGAGAGGATGAGGTCGTTGAGCCAGGGTGAGCGACGGGTGACCAGTGTAGAAGGCATGGAGACTTTGAGGATTGAGTCACGCCTATCGCCGTCCGCGTATTCAGGGGGGAGAGCGCGCCACTCAAGACCTAGGCAGACGCGTTCCAATTCACCAATGGTAGCTAGGCGCGACCAGTCTACTTACGTCAGCCGCCGGGGTCCGTCACGTACGCAGCATGTCCTGTCCTCACAAGGCCACCGCAATGATTCCCGCGCGCACGGCGGGAGTTCGTATGGTAGGGGAGCGGGGGGGGGGGGGGGATGGACACGTGGGGGGTGCCGGGATCGGCGCGGACGGACCAGTGCACTATGGGCCGCAAGGGGAAGAGATGGGAGCAGCGGGAGGAGGGCGCAGTAGGCCAGGTGGGGAGGTCGGGCAGCCGCAGCACTATCATCAACCAGAACAGCAGCAGCAGCAGCAGCAGCAGCACCAACAGCACCAGCAGCAGTGGCAGCAACATCAGCAGATGCCACAGCAGCAGCAACAGCACCAGCAGAGACCGCAATACCAGGGACAACAGCAGCAGCCGCAGAAGCAGCACCTGGAGACGCCGCCGCCCCCCCCGCCACGGCGGCAGGCGCAAGGGGCCATGAATCAGGAAGGCGTCGGCGGTGCGGTGGATGCGCCGGCGGCCGGCGCGCCGGGGGGGTGGGGGGGCAACGGGCAACAAGGGGGGGGGGGGTGTACTCATAGTCGTGCATGCCGTAGTCGTTTGACCATTGACCTCGCATCCCTACAAAGCCGGGACGGGGCACGCCGGGTTCTCACCGGACCAGGCTCTCACATCACCAAGCGCGAAGCGCCGTGAGGTATTTGGCGAGTCGCATGAAGGGTGAGCTGCATCCTGCTAAGGGTGTTCGGCATCTTGTGCTTACTTCCTTGCGTACGGATGACAGCTACGTATGACTTAATTTATTTTCTGGTGCTTTCACTTCCAGAGACAGTTGTAAGCACTGTGTAACTGCCTCGAGGAAGCTTGACCATTTTAACACAACGTGGTGCGATCATCCCCCGTTGCGCGGAGTGAGGGTTCTCCACCCCGCACAACATGATCTACTCGACCACCATTATGGTTACCGCCAAAAAAAAAACCGAGGTAAAAAAAAAAAACGGTAACCTGGTTGCCAAGTTCACGAAGTGAATTGGCTTGTTTTACAACGTCGTTGCCAAGCGACGAAAACCCAATCCCGATGGCAAACACGGAGTGGGGGGTTTGTTTTACAACGTCGTTGCCAAGCGACGAAAACCCAAACCCCGATGGCAAACACCGGGGGGGGGTGGAGGGCCGC